AATGTGTATATTTGAAACACTGATTAGATTTGGTTGATGACAGTGAAGCTGTATCTCTGTAGTGCAGCGAACCGTTCTACGAGCTCTTACCGCTTAGCAGGAGAACGAAAAGTCGAATGCGAGCGGCCCGATATCGTTTCGACTTTTCCCGGGTGTTAAAATGTCCCAGCCAATCCCGGTGGAACGGTGAACGTCGTAACGTTCGAATCTCTTTACGATCCCATCGCGTTTCTATCCGTGGAAATTCTTGATCGGCCGATACCCAAAGAGAAAACCGTAAAACGGCTCTCGTAAAATTATCCACGAGCGCGCACCGTCTTTTCATGTCCAATGGAATTCGTCGTGTTCGATTCTACGACTGTATCGCTCCACGAGAATCGAGTCGCACAGATGGCAGAATTTTGTTCTTCGTATACAACTGCGTTTCATTTAATCGTAATTCCTTTCGAAGAATTTGTTTCAAGATTGCAGGCTTTTGTTTGCTTATCACATTTTATCATTCAAACGTTGCAACATGCAAATAATATTGCGGACTACGTATTTTCGAGATTCAATTTTCTTATAAATGAAACACGCAGTCTATTAATTACGTGTCTGAGACGATTAAGAATGAGGTTTTAAAATACGAGAACCGATTCATCGCCCTCCCACGAACATTTTCCTCATCTCTCAAAGCAGCACTGGTTACGAAATAGCGCGCAATAAATTATTTCCCCGACGCGTCCGCGAACAATGTTATCTCCTCTTTAAAGAAATACGATGAAAACAATTGAAAACGATACGAGACGTTGTAAATGATAAGACGTCGGTTTGCCAAAATTATGTAAATGTGATTCCAACATTTTTACTAACTGCATTCCTAAAACTGGATAATATATTGTCGTTAATAATTGTTCTGCGCGTTTATCGCACTAATTTATAAGCGTTTAAGTGGAATATTTTTAGCGCTATGTAATAACATAGCAGCGCTCGCTAATGGCTTTACAAGCTGATACGAAATGAAATAAATAAATTAAAAGAAAACAGGTCACTGTTTGTCCTGTTTCTCTTTTGGTGGATATTGCCGCGCTTTTGTCAATAATCTCGAGCTGGGAATCGATTGCTTTCGCAAGGATATTCCCCAGTCGAAGGAGAAAGAGAGAGAGAGAGAGAGAGGAAGAGAGCCCGGTTGAAAGTGGTTCTCGATCGATTGCGGGACGACAAAGGGTAACCGGGGTTCGAAGTTGGAACCTCTCCCCGAGTTTATTTTACGTCACTTCCAGTATCTCCATCTCGAGTCCGGCGGAGATTCTTGTCTTCCAAAACATTTAATTTGACGTTTCTGTTGGAAAAACAGCTTTCAAACCCGGAGGAAGAGGCCGCACTTAAACCAGCATCCGGAGTGATAAACCGTGTCTCGGTTCAAAACGATACGCGATTTTCTATCCCGACTTCCTTTAATAACTGCATTATAGTTGAAACAGTTCTTTGCTCGCTCGGAAAACGCTATATCAACTTCCGATGTGGATCTCAATTTGAAATCGAAAGATGAAACGCGGACTTTTTGAAGTCATTAAGTAATTCAAATAAACGATCGATCAATCATGGCAGATGAGTAATTGCGAATCTCATGGATTTACAGAAAAATATTCTATTTAAATCAGATTTTTTTCAATTGACGTATATAAAAAGTATTCTTAAAATTATTTATTAAAAATACTTCGCTACTTATGAGAGGCTGATAAAAATCTTAGGAGAATCTAAGTCTCTTCGAGAACAAAGAAGGTAACGAACGCAGGGTTTAAGGATTAATGCCGGGTAATAGAAGTCGCGTCGCACCGTCGGCGGAAGGTAATAACTACCCCTTTTGAAGACTATGCCTCCGACCGACGAGAGGTAGGGTGGAGCCGGGAGTAGGGATGAAGGACAGAATCGAATCGATCCGAGTTATTGTGTTCTGGCGTGTAGGTATTGTGCGCCCTGGGGAACAATCGCGGACACCGTGAAGACGACCGTGATGGAACTAATTGACGCGCGTAATTGACGATTCGCTATCCAAATGTCGTACGGAGTGGGAATCGCAAGTCCCGGGACAAGTGACACAGTTTTGATTAGGAAAAAATGTGAAGAGGTGAAAGCGTGGTGAAAAACGGGGAGGAAACTAGCTGCTGACTTTGGGAGGAGAGATTCTAAAGCGAACATTGAGAGGAATTACAAAAGAAACTGAAGTCGTGAAATGGACGCAAGGAAGTTTCAAAGAAAAACCTACAGAGACCGGAGGAAAGGGAGTCAAAGGAAGAAGTAAAGAAAGCAAGGCGTCCGAGAATTATGCTTCCTAACTGTCGTAAAAACTATTAGGTCACGGAAAAGCAGCAGTAATTAAGGGGCTAAAAAATATACTGGGGAAACGTTTCCTTTAAAAACTGTTTGGACGTTACTTAAAATAGAATCTGCTCCCAAGTCGATACGAGAAATTAATCCAGTCTGTGGATTTAACGTATTTATAGAAAAATTCTATAAAATACCCAATGATACACCGAAAGAAGACTATTATTTTTAAATGAAACAGATTCTGAACTAGACTACATTTTCTAAATTCCGATGAGAAATGTCTGCATACAAATCTGCACTCTACACAGTAGAAACAATGCGAATAAATCTTTTTATAAAAGAGGAAAGGAACGCGGGGAATTCTCAAATTCTATCGGAGTCGCTCAATACTCGAGGCAGAGTATCAACAGAGAGGGTGGGAGAGACGACGAAGAGGGTAAAGAGCAGATCCGACGTCGCGTTAAAACGTAGAAACGCGTCAGCAGGGCTCTCGGAGGCCTCGACTCTTCTGTAAGGGTTTAAGGCCGGTTCACACAAGCGGAATCGATCCGGCAACCCTTATTGGATCAGACGAAACGAACCGCTCAACCGTGCATCCGTCGCACGCGGCACTCCGTTCCTCTCTCGTACACAAACGGGAACGAGAACCGTCGATACACGTACGTTCCTACCTTCACGTTGCCGCGGCGATCGTTTCTTCTCTCGCGTAAACGCAACAACCTCTTTACCCTCCCTCGCCGGCCGCTGAAACTGTGTCAAGTGCTTTCCACGTTTTTCCCTCGAACGTGTCTCTATCGATATAACGCGTCTATTCCCGCGGCTTCATTCTTAAAATGATTCCCGATGTCTCCTCCATTTGAGATGATCATTGCACGTCGTGTGCATCACCGTTCAACTCTCGTATTTTAAACGTTCACAGTGAGCTCATGAGAATTAACATTTAAAATAACAGAACACAGTTTTTATTAAAAAAAAAGAACCTCATTAAAATGCAAGAATCATTAATTCAATGAGTTTTATAAAATAAGAAACCCAATGACATACATTGATTTACTGTAAGATTTGTTGTACACGATTTATCGTACGATGCAACATTTGTCCGATCATAAGTAATGGTCGATCCTCACAGAGCGTGCGATGCGATGCGATGCGCTGCGTTTCCGTATTTTTCGAGTTTTCGACCGGGTCTGCCAGTGCTGTAGGCTATACCTTACAGCATATACTGAAAGCATGTAAAAGTCGGAGACTTCGGAGGGCCCCAGTGTTAGCTAGCCGAGAATCGGTAGCTCGAGGACCAAAAGTAGGGGTCACACACCCGCTGTCCATTTACACTTAGACGAAAAGGTCGATGCGATTCACTTACACATAGACGAAAAGAAACGCATGCAATTTTTCCGAGAGTATTCTCGCCAAGAAATCCCGAGGATTTCATCGCAGAGGCCATAAAATCGACCTTTTCGTCTATGTGTAAATGAACAGCGGGGGGTCTGACCCGTAGTTTGGGTCCTCGAGTTACGGATTCTCGGCTAACTATTACGGGGGCCCTCCAAAGTCTCCGACGTTTACATGCTTTTAGTATATGCTGTAGGGTACAGTCTACGGCAGTGGTAAACCCGGCCGTAGGCTCGAAAAATACGGAAACGCATCGCATCGCATCGCATCGCACACTCTGTGAGGATCGACCATAATACGCAACGATGCAACAACACGAAGATACGCTACAAGTTAACACACGCCCTCAGGTAATTTTGTACGACGCTATGAGAGACGGGAGTTACATTTCTAAATAGATATATGACGATCGTTTTAAGACTCACCGGTGACTGGGGCCTCGATGTCGATCATGGTCTTCTCCGAGCGAAGAAGGGCGGCTCCATCGTTGACTATGCGAAGGGCCGCCGCTTCGTCGATCCTACCTTCGAGGATAAAGTGATGCTTGAGGATTTCCGGCCGCGGCCGTTCCGTCCGCGCGTCGAACACCTCTGACACTGTCAGTTTGTGCGACGGCGGAAAGGGCACATCTGAAACGAAAACAATTGCCGATCAGAAAAACTATCCTTAATAAATTTACCTTTAGACTGATGAGTTCTGTGAAAAATTGATCAAACGTAATACGCGTAATAAAATTTCCAGTTCAAAAATACATATAATACAATCGTTTCCCAGTTCTCAATTTTATGCAATCTTATGTTATCCAATGATATAAAGTTCTTGCTAAGAGTAAGTAAAATGCATAGTCTGAGACATTATATGCAATCTTTACATCTTTTATATGTCAAATTTTCGTGAGCCTACTTATCTTTTTCACATCATCATCATTTAACATAGCCTACTTGTCTCTATTTATTTTTAAAATTAATTGTTGAAGCAGTATCAGCTGTTTCCATGCAGTTCCCCCTTCGAGGGAACAGGAATTGGAAGAAGGGCAAGAAGGCACGTTCGTATCTCGAGCACAGAATCCAGTCGAGAAGTTATCCTAGCTCATCGTGCGCTAAGTGTCGAGAAGTAAAGCTGTGAGCATTAACGTTACTGACTCTTGACCTATGTGCTTTAATCTTGGCATGCGTCCGAGACGCTAGGTACACAAGCGAGAGAGTGAAAACAATATCGTGACGCCGGTATGCTAGAGCACGTGTAAATTCCCGCAGCGTGCGTTCGCCACGTCGTGATACGGTATCCCGGAAAAAGTGTAATCTCGCGCGGATTACCCAGGCACGAAACTCACGTCCCGCAATTACTTTCCGCATTAAGCCGGACGTAATTAACTATCGATAAACATTGATCGTGTAACGCTATCGCGGACAATCTAGCTGCTGCAATTAATGCCGCGCATTAATTTTGCATACACAATTCATCGGCGGCCTCTCTTTCTTGGAGGATGATTTACGACCGGCTGTGCCTTATCGCTACTGCTAAATTACTGTTTGCCGGTCGGAGGAGCAAGACAAACCATCGCGCATATAATCTCGCTCTTCGAACGATACCATCGGTACGCGTTTGTCGTACGAATCGACGTTCGTTTTACGAGCACCGTGACACGAACCAATATTTATTACGGATATTTGAAAATTGAACGGCCTATAAATCCCGCTGTTTTCCCTTCACAATTTTTCCTCTACGTTTATCGACGACCCCATGTATTCACGTTCACAAAATTTGTATTTAATTCAATCACCTGTCATCCTTTCCGGTACCACCCTACAACCCGATCCTTTTATTTGTGGTCCTTCCATTGCTTCAATGATTACTTTTATGTCAGGACTGCTAGCTGACGACGATGTAGAAGGAGCGTCGATGTCGTCTTCGTGTTTCATCGAATTGTCGATCTTCGATGAGCTGATCAGATTTTCCGAGAAGTGTTTAGGCGAAAATCCTAGATCGAGACTATCCTCGAAGACGTCATCGTCTCCGATATTATGCATGGCTTCGTGGTTGTTTCCTGCAGGTTCAACTTCTTCTGTTTCAGGCTCTGATTTATTTACGCTCATAAAACTATCTGAAGATTCTTCGGATTTCGACAATTTTAGAGAAGAATTAAAATCCTGCGACAAATCAGTGATGTTACTATAATTTCCAATACGTTTATTCGACATGTCGATAGCCTCTTCGTCCTGATTCATCGACTGAGAATCGCTGACGTTAGTGGAGTTGCTGTGCGAAATCGTCGAAGAGACGGTCACTGCTGGAGCATGCACCGATTCCGTGGAAGAGGAAATGTTCAAGCTTATGGAATAATCGTCTTCTTCCGCGTATTCATCGGTCTCATCGGAATCCTCCAGTTTCTTACAACACGGACTCAACACCTCGTCCGTCATCGATTTCGATCTGTCCAATCGTTTGATGTCTTCTGTTAACGAATCATCCATGACGCTCGTGTCTAAAATATTAGAATCTGAATAACTTTTTGTACGCGTTAAGACCCTTTCGGTTCTTGACGAAAAATAAGAACTATCATTCTTAGAATGAAATGTGCGACGTCTTCGCTTCCCCGAATCGTTTCCTTCCCTGGACTCGTCCTCAGACGATTTTTCCTGGGGACTTCGGAAACGGAAACCAAAACGCACTTCCAATGCTCTTTGTAACTTCGCGAATCCGCTGAGAAGGCCGGAATTTTCGTTAACCGGCGCCTCGGGCGTCGGAAACGGCGCCTTGGGCGTCTGCTTGCGCCGATCGGAATCATGCGTACTGCTGCTTGCGTTTGGTGAATTTACTCGCAGATGCCTCCAATCGTTCAACAGTTTCTGCATCTCGGATTCGCTCTTCTCTCCGGTGTCGTCCGAGTTCGCGTGGTCCTGATAATGGGTCACGGAAATGTCGATGGAATCGAGGAACTCGTATTCCGAAAAACTCTCGTCGGACATCTTCACTCTCCTTGCGATTGATGTAATGAACACTACGTGAACGAGCACTAAAATGGCTGATAGGTCGTTAGTTTTGAATCTAATGAAGGCCGTTACGCAAGGCAGATTTATAAGAAAACCAGCGTTTGGAGTAGAAAGATTTGTGTTCATTTTCATGTGACACATTGTTGTATTAGATTACATGAGAGCAAGACTTAATAGAAATTTATTTGTCCTTTATTTTAATCTTACAAGTTGTAGTATATATTTAATTATGTCCTAGTATATAGCAAGTTATTTGATCAAACAAGCATCGACTCCTTAAGAATCACCGGGGTTTAATAGTCTGTAGGCGTTGCTACTACGTTCTCATTCATGTCAAGATCGATCCCTGTGAAATCTGCAAGAAAATTGAAAGATATATTCTTTCCTTACTAAAAGATTTGTCTCGTAGAGATCAAACAACCTATGGAATCGAATTCGTCCGTGAATAAATCCCGTTTGCTCAGTCCCAACATCTTCATTAGTCTCCCCATCATGGTGGTCCTGTTCTCGAAACTCGATGCTTCCCTTTGCTGTCCAGTGCTTTGATCGAAGAATTTTTTTATCGTGGAGAATCTACCGATGGTCGATTCCCGCGACACACCGCTCGCGTTCCTCTCTGCCGGGCTGTTGATCAACGGATGCAACGCAGACGATGATACCCGATGAATTTTGTGCAAATTCTGACGCACCGCGACGTACAGATCCTCGTTGCGATTCACGTCAGGCACGTCTAACGTCTTCCATAACCTTCGACACTTGCCATCTGATTTCCCAAGTTTCTTCGCTTCCTCTTCGCTTTTGCAATTCTCATCTTTAAATGATTCCTCGTTCGTTGACATGACAATGCACGAGTCTCACCATAACATTCACCGTTAAATTATGCTTCCGCTTTTCAACAAAGACGCTTCGTCTAAACTGCTTACGCTTGTTCACGATTGGATGGATCTCAGATGGGCGATCGGTCGAGTAAACACATCTAATGAATTGTGTACTAAATCAAAATCAAGCTGTCTTTACGTTCAACATTTTATTTCCCAAGACGTAAAATACCGAGAGGTCTAAACAGCAAAAATTCCAGACAGAGAATCGTGGAAATTGCCATGGCCGTACAGTTTAACTCGTAACTCAATTTAACCGTCGGAACAATATTTTCTACTGTTTCCGAAAACCGTTCTCCCCGCATCTTATGAATAAGATAATCGTACGAAAACTTTTTGAGTGCCCGTTCCATCGCTCACGGGACGGAATTTCCAAGACATCCTCTTGTGCCTCGAAGGATTATTTCGTCGTTTCCAAGCATCGAATGCAAACCAAAATTGGAATCCGCAGGGAACTTACAAGCAGACTACGGATTTCATGCATTTAGAAGGAAATTGAATGCGCAGAAAGTATGAAGAATGAATTTGACCTATGAAAACATACGAAATATGAAGAGCTCCGTGCACGATGCTTAAATGATGAAAAAAATGTTAATCTAAAATACAATTTCAACGGATGTAATAAATATTTCATTTCTCATGAAGAAACCCAGTCTACTTGTCGTGGACTAGTGGCAAGGGAGATCGCAGTGAAATAAGACGTCGCTGATCAGACAGCGTTAACGGTTCGTTCTCCTTTATTTTACAATCATCAGATTATCATAATGTACGTGCATGGTAATGCCACATGTGCCATAATATGTACTAATTGGAAGACGATAATTTGATCTATATATAATACAAAACAATTTCTCAAGAGGATAAAAAATATTAGAAAATACAATCCATTATCAAGCGCGAAATTCCTAGAATTAATAACCGCTAATTAATTCGCCTCCCGATTCTAATTAACAAAAGAATATGATATGTAAACGAATATTATATGTTACGCATTTATTATTAATAATAAATTCTCTGGCGAATTTCTTACAATTAATCGAACGTAACAGGGACAGAAACAAGCAACGCCTTAGGATCGACAACAATATAATAAAATCGATTATTAAACGTGTAAAAAATAAAAATATAAAAAGGATCGTTTCGTAAACGATAAAATAGCTAAATGCCTCAATAAATTAGAATTAACGTTAATCGAATTTAAAAATAACGATCCTTTACTGTCGCTTGCTTCTGTCCAAAAGTTACACCTTAATTACATCGTAACGAAAAGACGTTTTGCTTAATCATCGAAATTTACACAACAGCCGAAGTTATTTGAATAAAAGCTTGATGGAATACATCTATCGGAATACAACGAGACATTTTATAAATATCTACAACTTACATTCCAAAAATAAATATAAAGTTAAAATTATATACAAAATATGGTTCTAAATTTAACATCTATTTCTCTCTCCGATCGAAATGTTAATGAAAGTGACCTGGTAATTTATAGCGCTTTTAAATTCCCAACTCATTCTCATTAAACCGTAACTAATATCAGACGATAATTACGCCTCTGATTAGAGTGATAATTATACACATTGAACGCGAGGGAAGACAACTTCCGGACGCTGTTATTCTCGAAACAGTGATGAAGTTCGTTAAAAGCTTTCCCGAGTTCTTCGATTATTCCATCGACTTTTTCGCATCTAGTCTCGTCAGATGATGTTTTTCAATTGAATCAACGCGCTTTACGTCCACGCCTGACAAGCGCTTCATTATTCTTGTTCAATATGAAAAATCTAATCGCATAAGTGTGCAAAAAATTAGTTCATCTATCATTTCGGTCTTGTAAATTCCGATAAGGTGATGCACAGTAAAATAAGTTTCCCAATCACTTTAAAGATGTTCGTCAAAAAAGTAAAGTTCAAGAAATTAAACGCAAAATACTTGGATGGATAAAAAAATTCGATTAATCGAAGAGTCGACCGATCGACTGAAAAAAGCCGGTGGGTCTCGTGCATTCGCATATTCTTAACGATGTGTAACGGTTAAGAATAAGGTGCGAATGCACACGGTTCCTCAATCTTCGCTCGACGATCTTTACGTTGTCACAACCGAATAATCGAAATTCCATACGACCGTTCGCATGACGTATCTCCGCCAGACTGGACGAGGCCAGGTGGTGTCCAGTTTTGTCATCGCAATCTCCACAATTTCCAACTTGCGGAGCGATAGAAATCTGAACGACACCGCTTCGACATAGGCGATCCATCTAATTTCTAATAAACATTTTAATTTCGTTTTAAATTTAAGATTCCGAACATTTTCTGTACGAATTAAACTATAAACGTATAGAACTATGTAAAATATGAAAGATGACTGAATATTAAATGCTTATTGCAATGCTTGAATATTAAAAGAAAATCTGAATTCTTAAACTGGCTGTTAGAAATATTGTATTTAATATGGAAAATCTGGTATAATAATATTGTATATAATCTATACTGTATATAATGTAATCTATACTGTATATTGTATATAATGTATATAATCTATAATAATCTGGTATATAAATATTGTATTTAATATGGAAAATCTGGTATAATAATATTGTATATAATCTATACTGTATATAATGTAATCTATACTGTATATTGTATATAATGTATATAATCTATAATAATCTGGTATATAAATATTGTATTTAATATGGAAAATCTGGTATAATAATATTGTATATAATCTATACTGTATATAATGTAATCTATACTGTATATTGTATATAATGTATATAATCTATAATAATCTGGTATATAAATATTGTATTTAATATGGAAAATCTGGTATAATAATATTGTATATAATCTATACTGTATATAATGTAATCTATACTGTATATTGTATATAATGTATATAATCTATAATAATCTGGTATATAAATATTGTATTTAATATGGAAAGTCTATTTAGAGCATTGAAACGGTTTAATTTTGAATGTAAATATACGAGGAGTTTGATATTGAAAGGATTATCGGGAATAAAAATTGTTGTCAGTCTCTATGTATACACGGCCGGTGTCACTAGAGACACAGAAAAAGTTGTTTTGCTCGTTGATGGAAATGTAACGGCCGAATCGAATGTCGAATAAAATCTGTAACGTGCGAATATAACCGTCTACGGATCAATACAAAGGATAATATTTTAAGATGGCTCGTAATCGTTTGAAAGGAGCTTCGTTGAAAAGCTGCTTACTCCAGATCTTCGAGATCCAAACAAACGCGCGTAACTATAAGCAAGCTGTATGTAACGGGTGGCAAAATCCGGCGTGATCTGCAAAAAGAATCGAAGGAAACGCGATACGAGTCGGCCATCTGGCATTGCCCGATCTCTTACGCCAACGTTAAATCAGTATTATTACAACATTGACACGAATATTGAACCTCTTGCAAGATCTGAATGAAAATTTAATTCCGAACTGACACACTAATCTCTTATCGTCAATATTGAACTCTGTATTGCGAATATTCAAGCGAGCCGACCGAGTGTTGCTACCTCTTTAAAACTTCACGTTTGCACGTTAGCTTTTCGAGAGGACTTGATTCCTCGAAACGAGAACACGGGAAAACGGACGAGGAGATGAAAAATGGACGAGGAACAACACCGAAATTCGGCAAATTTCCGCGGACGAAACGGAAACGGGTATCTCCGTGACGAAGTTTCTCGCGTGGCTGCCAAGAAGCGCGTATAAATAGGCCGGCTGACAAAAACAAGTCGCCGCGTCGTGTTGAGCGGACATAAAGTTTTTAATCGCGCGATCTTTACGAGCTTTCATCTTAACTCCGCGCACCGAATGCACCCGCATCGACAGGCGAACATTTACGAGTTTTCAATTACACCTTCCTATCCGAATCCCGAAATTTTATTACGAACCTCGACGGGGTCTACTCTCGGTATTTCGAAATTAATACAAAAAAAAAAAGTCTTACCTACGATATTGCTCAGAGTGACGTCTGAAATATTCGTTTAACTCGTATTTCACGTTTAATTTTTGACGATTCCGTGCTTCCCAATCGCCGGATTTCCGTTGGGAAACGAGCGCCGTTAACGCGCGGCCCCGCAACGTCTCTTCGCTACGAATATTCGTACATCTGTAAAAACGGAAGCCCTGAGCACGAGGATCCATAGAATTTCGAACATCGACCCGTCCGCGATTAACATGGAACGACTATCGACGGTCGAATCTTCAACAGACTTAATACTTACATCGAGATGAGACTGAGAAAAGATTATGCGCACGGTTCAAAGACGAGAGTGTAAGTAAGCGTACACTACCATAGAAATGTATATCACGGTGATGTAAAACGAAATGAAAATGCAAATGTACAGAGCGTTCTTGTCCTCCCGGATTTCCCGACACAAAAACTTCCACGAGTAAGTGTTCATCGTTGGAACTTTCACGAGTCAAACGGTAAAAAATTACCTTGTCGATTATCCGTAATAATTTGGCACTGGACGTTGATTAGAGGAGACCGCAGGATCAACGTGTGCCGCGTTCTTCGATGGAGCCTGCACCCAGCGATTATTATTCTATGTCCACGCGTGTTCGCCTCGTGCAGGTCCGCCCGCGATCTGAACGGAAGCCGGCACGCGAGACCGAGCTCAGCCGTTCTCGATCAGAGCCGAGATGGCGTTTTACAACCCGCGAATTATGACAATATCGTGGAAACCCTAATCATTCTTCATTAAAATACTAAATAAATTGTACAAACGTAACCATGTAATAAATTCTACAAAAAATCGAATAGTTTCAATAAAATTGTACTTAACCCATTCGCTGCCAAGTTATTTCTTGGTAAGAGCACATATAT